TTTCGGACTTGGAGCATATCTGATCCCTTGGGGTTCATTTAGCTTTCACCATCATTGTGCGCTGGTATGATTTTCGCCGGATTTCGTACGAAAAAACATCCGCACGGAAACACCCCTATCTCACTGATCATCGTCAACCACGGAGAGGTGCTTTTAGAAGAGGTGGTAAAAGGATTATCCGTTCCTGAGCAAGAACAATAAGGCACGCATACAGCGAAAAATCAAACTGCTTGTTCCCGAACCGAAAGCGGTGATGGATGGGGCGATCAGTAACTGGCCTTGAGAGTTGAGACGCAACTAACATCAGGTTCAAGGAGCGGGAACCCCATGAGTGGTGGTTAGTAACGCCAAGACCTATGAGAGGAGCTCAAATTGAGGCTGTGCAAATGCAGACCCTCTCTTCCAAGCTATCTATTGGTAGCCATGAACCAGATAAGCCAGGGCCCCCCATTCCATATGGATTCTGGCCCGTCCGTTATTCGCTTCGCCTGTTTGGGACACTCGACTGTTGTTGACTTGAGGGGTTTTGTGAAGCGCTGTGGTGTGGTCTGATCGGTAGGTGAACGTTCTCAGATTTTTCTCAAGGTTGAGAAATTTTGAAAGGACGAATGGGTATCGAAAAAGGTTGGAGATACTGCAAGTTGACGTTGTCTCCGGTTACAGTTCGAAATGTGATCAAGAATGGAAATACTGATATCTTCAAGCAAAACGAACAGGCCACCAAAACCTCTCCCCCTTTTCAAGCCGACATCCAGCAAGTTGTCAGAAATTCTTTCTTTCGATATGCTCGTCTGAGAATCATCCCGCGTGTAAAATGATACCTTGATTCATGTACCAAGGACATCCGATACCTCATATATGTACACATCAAGAACGTTACCGCTGGACACAGCTCTTGAACACCTCAGCGAACTAGACGACTTCGCAGATTTCAGGCTGAAAACTCAGCTGCCCGAATTGAAGTCGGTGAGCGTCCAGCCTCACCGGTAGGGATACTTGCCGTCCCGGCCGGTACTCAAGGTCAAGTGATCTACGAAACAAGGGTTCAGCAACTCCAGGGGCTGTTTGCATCTCTGCCGCCCACGGATAGCTACATATTTGTTCTCTCTCTTCTTTTTCTTTTCTTTTTTTTTTTCCCCTTATGCTGATCTAGCAAAGTCCAGCAGACAGGTAATTAGGGAAGGTGGTATGGAGAAGAAAAAAAAAAAAAAAGAAGAAAAAAGAAAAAAAAAGACGGTATGCCAAAGACCCTGGCACTGCTTGGACCTCCGATAAACCCAGACGAGGACTCGGGACGGGACTGAGGATCCAGACACAGTAATGCTAACCTCCACTGGGATAAGGGTGAAAAAGAAGATTGAGGCGCAGCATCTGCATTGTGCCGTCGACGTGGGACAACAGAAGGGAAGAGGGCAAGTTTCATTCGTTACTCGTCAAAAAAATGTGCTTGGGCTTGATGTCAGTCCCTTCCCGGCCCCGGTCCCCGAGTGAGAGAAAAGCGGTGTCTGTCAGTGCAGTAGGTATGTACATGCTACCTTGCAGCAGAACAATAGCAGGCCTGGTAAGGTAACTTACAACTGATACGTTTCAGTGTCCTGACGAGTGGGAGATGGATATCTGTCTCTTTCGAGAAATATGTAAAGTGAGGATAGACAAGTTTGAGCTCCTTGCTGGTGGAATCACATCAACGTGTCTTAGGTACATAAGTGGTCTGTCGACTTTTCCTTACAAATAATAAAGCATGACCAGGCCAGGAACTCCTGGATGACTTCATCTTAACGACTCACTCCAGCCCGCCAAGCAGACAATCTCCGACTTCAATAGTCATGGAAAGTCACGCCAGGCATGATCATGATTCGGAGCGAGAGGCTCGGCGTCCTTGGTATCTCCTCGCTTCTCGCTCTTGAGACCGGACCACTGTCGTCTATCTGCCCGGTTATCAAATAGGAAGATAAGGTAACGAGGCGTAACGCCTGTTATGCTTGTCTTTTTTTTTTCCCCTTCCAGTCACTGTACTAGAAGCTTCTGATCCCAATCGGAGACATTGATGCCGACCAGCTAGCTAGCAAGCAAGCAAGCAAGCAATGCCGTCCGCCTAGACTCGAGGTCATATCAAGGACCAGGTCATTGTGATCAGAAGGAGATCGAAGACCGGAAGCTTTCCGGATCTTGACCTTGATCAACGCTCGGCTGGAAAACACGGCTAGCTAGATAGCTAACTGGAAGGAGACCTCAAATTACGGAAGGTGTTATTGGTATCCTATGCTCCTTCTACTACCCAACCTCCAACCTCCAACATCCAGCCTCGGTCTCAGTCTCAGTCCGGCCTTCATACATTGGATACCGTGCCGGCAAAACGGAGACAAACAACAAGACTTGATATCAACTTGGGTGGACCCAAACAACCGTATCTTACTCGCCTTGACCCCAGACGACAAGATCAACAGGGACTGACTGACTGGGAGGCTTTTACGAAAAGTCTAAGCCTCACTCGCTTCACAGAGTACACGTACGGCATATGTTCGCGCGTATGTATGATAGCGAATTCGGTTCTCCGCCTTCTCTTTCGTTCTTCGTTCGGTCCTGGTAGGTTGTCTTGGTATTACTCGAGGCTGGTATCGATCGGTTGTAGAAACTAGAACGACGACATGCCGTGATAGGTATGGAAGATATGGAGTTCATTAACACGTCACCATCATGGCTGTTACGAGTTCCAGCGAAGGAAACAAGCAGAACGCGTATATCGCATGATCCACGTACCAAATATGGAGATCAAGAGAGCGGACGAGAAGATGGAATCACCTATGTATGCCTGACTTACACCCAGCCTCGACGTCTTTGACTTGCGTCTAGCCAACGAGGTAGGATATGTAGTGGGACAATAGAAGACAAGATGGGGCATGCCAACGGGGAGGTCAAAGACGTGAACGAGGCGTGTACCAAGCCCTGTGGTCAAGGCAAACGAGCTATCCATCACCATATTCACAGTACCGTCGTCAACGACTTCCTATTGTGCCTAAGTGCATGTGGGTTGGCCAGGTGGATATTGCCAATTTCCATGTCCGACTCGGCGCATCGTGGCTGTGAGGGTTAAAGTCACATTCTAAACTCTGTTGGTGATGGGAATTTGATCGTAATAGGGACATGGGGTTTGAATATGCCGCATCCACGTGGAGGTGGTGGGCAGGGGTAAAGACGAGTTGATGGTAGTAGATGGTAGATGCTCACCTTGTGGTCGTCGCCATCTTGGACTTCGTTGGTTGGTGTGTTCACGTCACGATATATCACATTACAATCTTGGTCTTCTAATTTCTGGGCAATGTGGCTGGCTAGATTATGCTTTTAGCAACACATGCCAAGATGAGCTTCCTGAAACTACCTTGCTAGCTTATTATATCGGTATCTGATGATCGTCTAACGCATCAGCTCAAACTCAAAGGACGATGGAGATGCAAGGTAAATCTAGGTTTTACCCGAGGATGGACAAAGTTGTGGAATTATAGACTAGTCTAACATCATGGACTCCGCAACTCCGCAGCCAAGAACATGGAAATTAAAACAGTCTGGATACTCCAGGATCAGATCGATATCAATCAGACTTCTTCACTCCCTAATTCCTCAATAAACACGGACGCAGCCAATGCCGTGTGATTATTTGAGCACGTTCAAGAGAGACTCTACTACCAAGCGTGGCAGTGAAAGTCATGGCATGGTGATTGATGAATGTGGAAGTGTCAGTACAATTCATTGGTTGCGATTGGCTGCAATTTTGTTTTCCGCAAGGCATACACATACACATAGGCACACTAGAGATTCCCGTCTGCCTGAGCGAATCTCTTTGCTTATCGAACTTCTTGTACTAACCTCGTAATTTGCCGTTGAGGAATGCTTAGGTAGCTGGAAGTAAGATGGTGGCAATTGAGGAAATGAAGAAGAACTAAAAGTGAGGGAGAGGCCTCCCAGGGGCGAAATTGATTTTTGTACAATAGGCACAGCCACGAGGGGAACTATGAGGGTGAAGGGAGGCCAAAGAACATGAGAAGTATCCTTTGCCTTGTGGGTTTGTCTCAAACTTGTGTTTATCTGCCCGGATGTTAACTGCTGTCAAATATTGGTGGTGCATTGTAGATGACTTCAAAATCACGAGCGGATCGACATGGAATGGGATTTGAGAAATGAATCTCTGACCTAGCAACAGGCTATTCCAGAGCGCGCCTAGTAAGGTATAACAAAGGGCTAGGTAAGGACAGGTACTGGTCTGAGGGTATGATGGATGGACATGGGAAGAGATACGTAGAAAGCAGAATATAGTTTGGTTGACCTAGGGAAAGCAATTGGTTCAAGCGGTAAATATCTGACCACGAGAATCGTAGTAAAGTGCACCCGTAAGTCTAACTTCAATCTGAAACAAGCAGGCATAATAGCGGCCAGATGCGGCAAGCGGACGATGAGCGATATCGATATTGATTTCGAATGCTATTGTCGCCGGCAGGGCAACATAAGCTTGATTTCTTTTCCCCCGTGGTTCAGCACATGAGAAGAAACAGTAGATCACGAAAGCTTGATGCTTAACTTGTCATCTCTGATTGGTGCAGTGGCGAGATGGTGGGAGTAGATGTTGACGACGAAGGGTGTCACGTGAGCCTCATCGATAAGATAACGGTTACTGATCACGCAAGCTGGGAAACAATGGACAACAACGACGACGATGAACACGTAAAAATGACAACACAGCCATCATCAAGAAAGTTGCGATCGACCCAACATCAATTTTTGTACTCAGACGACTGAAGACGATATCATACATGCTCTTGCCGACGATGCGTCATACGATGGTTTTGCCGGATAAGAAATCTCTGCACACAGGCAAAGGATGCTACAACTTCTTGCTCGAACATAAAACCGACTCGGCATTACACTGCCCTCCGAGACGTCACCTAGAATCTTGAATATGATGCTGCTTGGGTTATGCTGGTGGTGGCATCCCGATTCATCAAGTGTCAAACTTTGACAAACCTCCATACCGTCCCCTCCTGTCCATCCTGCCAAACCATCGACACTGGGAACCCCTCTTCCCAGTCTTCTTCCGAATGCGAGCCCGAGTCCGAGCCCTTTGGCTTCAATCTTGCTTTGACAAGCCGTGGGATTGCCTTTGAATTTGATTCTGTCGGAATTTGTAGAGAACACATGATGTATCCGCGCTTATTCGGCTGCGGTGTCTCACATTCTTCCTCGTGTTTTCCATCTTCTTTCGCCCTGACGCATATGAACCGCTCCGACTCCCCGTGATTGACGCTGACATTCCAATAGCTACCAGAGAGCGGATCGGAGGCAGTGGCTTTGTCACCGATATTGAGTCCGAGATACCGTCCGTCCGCGGCATTGCGAAAGCCGAGCCACCCGTCCGTTTCGACACAATGCCAATGCCAGTTGCATTTGCCTCTGAGGGGATGGCCTTCTCCTAAATTGACCGGAACTTTATAGAGGGCAGGCCATCCGCCAATCACCATCAGCGCTAGATTGGTTGGTTGGTGGAGGATGATATATGTCGAATTTCCCGTGGGATTGTCGTCATGGTCTTGGTAGAGATCCCCCACGGTATCAGATGTGGGAGATCCTGATGAGTGGTCCATCTTCTGAGGAGGTGTCGAGGTGATGAAGGTATGAAGTGAGGATGATGCTTTGGTACCCCAGTCGGGTGTGGGAGTTCGGATGGTAATGCTCGATGAAGTTGAGGATGTACACGAAGCAGAAGAAGACGGTGATGAGGAGTGCGTGCTCATTGCTGGGGGTGTGTGCGTCTTTTTCTTTGTTCTGGACCTGACTTGATCAGACATCGAGTGAGTCGTCCATGTTAGTTGTAGGAGAAGAAGGTTCGTATCAACCCGAATTGAACGGAAGAAGAAGGGCATAGAGAGAAGGAAGCTGCCACTGTTTCTTGATCCGACGCCCGTGGCAACCATGTCCCACCGGGAAGGCTTCCAACGGCTTACTGACGTGGAGAGGACAACTGCATGCTTCTTGGTCGTTTGTACCTAACAATCACTCGCCACGCCGATGCCTACAAACGCAGTTAAGAGTATGCACGGCTGGGGACAAGTTGGTGTCATCTGGATGATTGAGTGGAAGCAACAACCCTATCGATGGTTATTACTATGTGGGAGAAAGAATGGGGAGAAGAGCCACGGAAGGAACTACACGGCGGATAGAACGATTGGACGCTGCCACTCGGACCGGGACTGACTCTGGCAACCCATAAGGTAACTACCTCTACTTCTGTAGTCAATAACCATCGAAAGGAACAGCCAAACAACGACGATTCGGGACTTCTCTACATTCGTAGCCTCCTCTGAGATGCCCCTTCCTATCATGACTACCGCGGCTTCCCTCTCAAGTGTTGGTGACAGTGATCGGGCGTTCCCCCGCGAACTTGGTTTGAGGGCATTGACAAGACATACATTTTTCTAACCAACGAGCTTTGGCCTCACCAGATGTTTCTGGCTGTGAGGCTGGGACGACATCCCAATGGCTGATTCACCCGTACCCTTTTCACGTGACTGCTCATTCAGCTGAGTAGGGTAGTATTCGTGTTTTCTATGGCAGCCTAAATCACTCCGCCTTGAGCATCTTTCGCATTGAAGCACAGCTGGCGCATTCTCTCTAAACTATACTGTCATTTCCTCGCTCTTGTTCTCTCCAACACTTTCGCACAGGAAATAGCAGACCCTGGATTGAAGGCAAGTCCCCGGTCTCAAGTTACGGCTCCTCGAACTCAGTTAACCATGTAACAGGACCACCGCAATCTTTTTGTCCAGATCCAGGATGGCGGAAACGGAAACGCTTTGTGAATACTGCGCCGCCATCGACTTTGAACAGCTTCGTCTTCCATCTTCCAAAGATGTGGGAAAGCTTAACGAAGGACGGCCAGTTGAAGACATATTTCCCTCCATCGATTACAGCATATGGAGCACGGATCGTCCCCACTGGAGTCTTGGAACCCAGAGCCGAATCCAGAGATCTGCTGCCACTTGCCCGTTCTGCAGGGAAGTCTCTCTCGTTCTCGAAACATCAGGGGTGCGAGTAAAAGCGCCTACTGTTTTCGAAAAAGATCCCATTTGCGACGTCTACTTCACCGAGGCCGGCCGCGTACATGCGCCTCCAGGTGTGACCTGGGAGCGGTTCGCGCCGCTTGAGAACTTCATGTTGTTACGGAAGTTTGCAGAGAACCTTTACGCTTGGAGGAATGAGCAATACCTACGGCATAAATTGCTACCTAACAAATCCCCACCTTCGCTTAATAATTTACCCCTAATACCTTATCCGAGAGTCTCCTTGCGATGGACGGTACCCGAAAAGCATCCGATGCCTTGGTACGCGAATTACCCTAAGTATGAAGGTGTTATTGAGCTCTTTGAATGCTTCCAAAGCATCGAAATGGGCATCAATGAAAGACGAAGCTTGTTTAGTGGACGGGAGAGGCCAGCCCTGCTTGACCTGGAATTGCCACGGCGATGGCTACGTGACTGTTTGGACAACAATAACGGCCGATGTACTCCCGAGCCAAAAGGCGAAGGTGTCAGATCATCAATCTTCCGCCTTATCGACACGAAAGCAAAGTCAGTTGTTGAATTTGATGAACACCGTCTCGGAGATACTCCGTATGTGACGCTCAGCTATGTTTGGGGTACTACACAACAAGCTGTGCTTAAACGTGAGAATGTCCTTCAACTACAGTTGCCTGGCTCTCTTCAAGGGGTCACTTCGCGAACCATTACAGACGCTATGATATTCACGTTCAATATGGGATATCGGTACCTCTGGGTGGACGCGCTCTGCATTGTACAAGACGATGATGCGGATAAGATGTCTCAACTCCATATCATGGGTGATATTTACAAGAATGCCGTCTTTACAATTGTGGCCGCTGCGGGTGGGAATTCTGGCTCAGGGCTTGCGGGTATTCGTACGCCTCGAACAGTAATCCAACGCAAAGTTCAAGTCAAACAAGCGGGCCCACAAAAAATGCCCTTGTGGCTCATCTCAACGGCTATGCCCCGTGTCGTCTCTTCATATCAACTATATACGAGTGGCCTTCCTTGGCAGACCCGCGGATGGACGTTACAAGAAAAAGCTCTGTCGCGGCGCGTATTCGTGTTCACAGACGAGCAACTATTCTGGAGTTGCAGGCGATGTCACCGATGGGAGGAGACCGATACTGAGACTAAGCTTGCCTTCCTGTCGTGGCATCCCATGACTATGACGGAGGCAGACGTCACACCTAGTCGTATTTGGACATCTCTGTGGACGCTGATTACCGACTTCTCAACCAGGCATCTCAGTTTAGATGGTGATGCTCAAGATGCCTTTTCTGCTATTCTCCGAGAATATACAGAACTAACCGGTTATCAGTTCTTGTGGGGCCTGCCTGTCTCCAAATTGCAATTCAGTCATGCTTTATGTTGGCAAGCGAATGGTCCTCTCGTGCGAAGAGAATGTCTCACTACTTTACCGACTACATCACTGCAAGTTAAGGTGCCGTTCCCAAGCTGGTCATGGCTCGGCTGGAAAGGTGACATACGAAACCAATGGTGCTCTGCCAGTTCTCTAAAACTCGAGATTAGGCCGTATGTGCTCAGAAATACACCTGTGCGGCTGGTGGAAATATATGACATTCCGGAGGACAACATGTCAAGGGCCATGCCTTCCTCCACGAATGGTGGAGAAAGCGCATCGCCGCTGCCAACTCATAGCTATCCAAACGCATTTGAGTCCTTGACCCTCGACACAATTTATAGGACCCTCAGCCCGGATATTACACCGAAGCGACTCTCTCGCACCCCTGATGACCAGCTCCTCTTCTTCTGGTGTGAACGTACCTTCCTTTATTTTGAAAAGCCTAGCGGCGACGAAGACAACATCGGTGTACATGACGAGGAAGGTAAGCATCTATTTTTCCATATTCAACGTTGGGTTTTGGGTCATCTGGACCAAGAATGGGAGAGACCTAAATACTCCTGGCAAAGTGATCGGATGAAGGTCGAATTCATTGCAATTACCAGTTATACGTGCGAGTGGTTAGAGTTGTCAAGTAATCCTTCACAGCGAGAGGAGCAAGGCACCGAGTTTTTCTTGTTTTTGATCAAGAGGCGTCAGGGTATCGCCTATAGGGTCGCTATGATTGAGCGTGTTCCCATGCGGAAGTGGCTGAAGTGTGAACGGGAGAGGATTCTTGTTGCTTTGGGGTAGGACATCATGTAGTTCTTGAATCTTATGTCTGCTTTTCACTTCAACGTTTCTTTCATTAACTTTCAACCTCTTGCCTTTCATCAAAGCTACATACTACAACTCGGGAGATATTTCAGAGGTACTTAGTGTACATTGACAACCACGGTCTTTCCATGTTTTGTCCTCATCTTGATGGAATGGCCCGGGATTTTAGATTCAAAATTTTCTGCGCTACGGTAGGAGCGTGACTGCGGAAATATGGATGACTTCAATCTCTGGGGCTTCCCGAGCTCTTCGAACTCCTTTGCCGTCCGCACGGCACACCTTCAACAAAGGATACGGACAGCACAGGCTAGCCTAACCAAAGACAAAAACACAGAATAGTAAGAAGAGAAAAATGTAAATGAGATGAACGAAAAAGGTTAGGAGAGTTTGAGCCGACCCAACATGTCGAATCCAACAACATCAAAAGACCTCGAAAGAGTTATGATTTGGCTTCCATATACGAAGATCACTGAGATAGTGAAGGTCCTTACGATGTGAAGATCAAGACTTTGTTCAAGTTCAACTTCCAGACGGCTATACCACTGTTTCAACAACGCTTGCTAATACCCACCCCAAAGTCCCAAACCCCCAGTTTCATCTTTGGAGGTCACATGAACGACTTCAGCGACACCATCTCCCACGACGACTTCTTCAGCTTTACGTCCTCAGTCTCCCTCCCCACCCCCTAGACTTAGCTTCCACTAATCCACCAGCTCCAAGCCACCGACCAACTGAACATTCCCCCAGAGCCTCGCGGCAAGACGTCTTCTAGTTGTGTGAGTGTGCGGTCGAAGGCATAACCGTCAAATGTTTCATCGTAAGCGGCCATGACTATGTCCACCCAATGGATCTAGCCAAGTCGTGGAAGGAATCAGAATCGCACTCTGTTATTTTCTCTGATCTCAACACGGACGACGCCGGCTGCTTATAGAAATAGGATCTCGTAAAGGTAGCTCGTCATCCACCACCAAGACGGAGCTTCTAGTCCGAGTGTCCGACGGAGCCGCTGGTAGTGGAAACGCCCGTGACACCACCGAGAGGTACAAGCGACGAGGGGTCCGGCGAGCTGGACGCACGAAAAATTTATATCTAGGTACGTAAAGGCAATGTCACGAGTTGCGCTTGCGAGCTTGACATAGATATCGTGCTGATTATATCGCACTTGTGCCTTCATCGATGTAATACTGACGACGGGAGTCAGGTCCGTTGATGCAGTAGTAGCAGGTGCGCTATCTTGACTTCCGGAAATAATTGATGATGAAACCGAAAATCATGTTGAATAGAAACATTGGTATGCTTAGCTACCTGCCGGGCTTGGACTGGATCATATCACACTAGTGATGAATAACCATGGCCACACACACATACGGAAATGTATATGTGAGAACAAACATCTTTGCGAGTTAGAAGGTTTTTTGGACGTCGAAGATTACATCCAGTTATCTCCCTCCCTCCCTTTTCTTTAGCTTCCTTTGAGATGAACGACAAGCACCATGGTACGCCAAGTTGATTAGATAAGATAAAACAAACCCAAAGCATGCAAGATAAAAAAATAAATACAATCGAAGAAAACCAATTCCGTTTGAGGGCAAAAAAAGAAAGTAAAAGCAAAAGAAATGGTTATCAAATGCCCACAGCCAGAATCGAACTGACGACCTCATCATTACTAGTGATGCGCTCTACCACTGAGCCATGCGGGCGGGGATTTGATTTGTTGAAACCCTTGATCAAATCTCTGTCTCAAGAATCCCACCAGTAACACCGGCAAGTCCGACAAAACAACAATCGGGTGACGGGAGGGAAGCTTTCGAAATTCCAAGTGCTGGATGATGAAGCGTTGATAATTGGTGATGTAGAAAATGCGCAAAAGATAGATATGCTCATCTGCTGCTCCACTCAAGATGGTTTCCGTACCAGATAAAACATGCTGAAAGATACCTACATACTCACGACCGTTAAGTTAGGACATGCAACGAAAGCTAGGTGTTGAGTCTGGTAGTAGTGACGGGGAAGAACGGGAAAAAGCAGGGCAGCCAAAATACCTTGGACGGGAGTGCTGGTGATAGGATGGAAGCACAGTGAACAAGCGCCAAGAGGCACGACCGGCCAACAACGACCGACACAAATGATAGAGGTACTCTTGCCCTAAGGAGGCTAACTTTTGTAATTTTTTTTTTCTCTTGGCGTCAAACACCTTGCACCATCGCAATGGGCACAACGCCTAACAATGCTTCGTTACAACACCATCTACACTTTAACCCTTAGATCCTCCAAACCTCACAACCTCACCTCCCCATCCCAGGCCTCTGCGACCCCGGTCTCCCCATCGCATTCCCACTCCCACTTCCCCTTCCACTCTCACCACCAACCCCTGAACCTCCAGCCCGATTCATAGTCAAAGGCTTAAAAGGCTTCATCAACCTCTCCATCGGTTTGATCGCCCCCATCCCCTCCGTTCCACCCAACCTCGCCAACCCCACCGGCTTCCTCACCACGCCCGCCGCCCCTCCTCCCGCTTTCCGTTTGCCAGGATACCCACCCAACCCCGTCGGCAAGACATTATGGCAAGTAGTAACATGCAAACTTCCCGCCGGTCTCGTAGGAGTAGGCGGTTGTTCGTTTTCCTCCGCTTCGTCTTCGTCTCCTCCTCTCGCTGGTTTTGGGGGAGCTGATATGCCATCGTCGGGTTCAGGCCTCGTGGGCGAGCTCGAAAAACAGACATATTGCTTTTTATAGTGAAACGAAGACACAGAAGAGGAATCTTTGGGTGGTTGTAGAGAAGGAGGACGAGTAACGTTGAAATTCAGACCACGACTGCTTCCTAACCTATGGGAGGCAAGTTCAGGGGCTATACCTGCGGTGACGGTGGGGACAGAGGGTTTGGAGGGGTGGCTTTGAGCCCTTTGGAGGCCGCTAGCGCCGGTGAAGGTGCGGGTTGAGGGGCTGTGATTGTGGTTTGAGGGGAGGGATGGGTGGCGGGATAAGGCCGGTTGCGGGAGACGGGGAGTTGGTACAGAGGGACGGTTGGTGGTGGTAGAGGCGGAAGTGATAGATGAACCGGAGCCGGTGCCGGGCTCGAAATTGGACTTAACAAATCCGAGAATGCTTTTTTGGTCGGCTGGTCGCTTGTTCGTACCTCGCTTTATGCCTGATGAAGCTGAGGCCTTGTTGGCTCTGGCTTCCAGGGCGGCAGCGGCGCTGGCGTTGGCCGCTGCGGTGATAGCTGCTTGATGGACGGCTGCGTTGACAAAGCCAGGGAGGGAAGCCATGGTGAAGGTTGAGGCTTGGTCCATTGTGGTAGCGTGTGGCTTTGCCCATTGAGGCTCTTCATGGCCGTCTCCAGTTGATATCGCCACTGGGTTGTAGAGCTTGGGACGTTTTGATCTCGAAGAGTCGAAGCCATGCCCACTTTCCTGGAAAGCCTCGTCTGGGTCGATGGGATACATATTATCCTCGGTATGGGACATGCTGGGGATCCCCTTGAAGATCTCCTTTTCGGAAGGTAGCCCGCGTTGGAGCACCTTGGCGATATGGGTCATGAGTGGCCGTTCGAAAGTAGGGCCCTTCTTTGCAAAGGAATTGGCGATGGGAGACACAAACGAAGACAGTTCGGTACGTTCGCTACTCCCTGGACTGTTATACACCGGATAGCTGAGGTATAGCAAGGATTGAGCTCGTGTCATGGCGACGTATAGCAATCTTCGCTCTTCATCTCCGTCTTCGGACCGCATATGCGGGATAGAGCCATTGTAGACTGCTGGTATGAAGACGATAGGCCATTCAAGACCTTTGGCAGCGTGAATAGTCGAGATAGTAACCAGTGGCTTACTCTCTTGGCCCTCTTCTCCCTTTTGAGCGTCAGAGGCGAGTGATACGTTGGCCAAGAATTGCGGGAGAACTTCCTCTTCCTTTGACTGTTCAAGCCCCTCGATTTCTGGAAGAGCATCCTCGCCAGACCTGTGTAGGTCTTGCACAAAGTCATTGGCAAGACTAATGAACTCCTGGACGTTGGCCCATCTTTGCTCGTGGTCATCAGGATATGTAACTTGAAGGTAATTTTGGAAGTTCAAGGCTGTTAGCAAATGCTCAATCAAATCGACCAGGCCAAACGGGTTGCTCTCTGCTGCCTCTTCCATCTTCTTCCGTATCCCATTCAACATGCGAATCAGTTCGCCACTAATTTTCTGTTCGGCATGCTTGGTGATCTTGGTCTTGGCAGTTCGGTCTCCCCGGCAGTGCTTGACAAGGAGACTAAAAAGACTGAAAGATGACTTCTCTGCTTCTTCGATAAGGTTCTTGATAGTGCCGTCGCCTATGCCTCTCTTGGGAACGTTCATGATCCTGCCAAGCGCATCATTGTTGTCGGGCTGATGGATAACTCGTAGATAATCAAGAATAGTCTTGATCTCTGAACGCTCGTAAAATTTGAAACCGCCAACCATACGGTAAGGAATTCCTGCTTTGCCGAGGGCACTTTCGACGTGCCTTGACAGCGATGCTGACCGCAGAAGAATAGCCACATCGTTATGGGTCAACATTGACCCCGACATGAGAAGCGCACGGCGTATCTCGGCGACGATCCACTCTGCTTCGGTTGAAGCGTTCTTGAGTTTGCGCAAGACTGGACGGGAGCCTCTGTCATGGACAGGTTTCAACACCTTTTGATATCTTTTCTTATCCTGCTGAATCACTAGCAGTGATAAGTCGAGGATGGCTTGGGACGAGCGGTAGTTCTCTTCGAGCGAAATCTCGTCGGTTTTCGGATAATCGCGGAGAAGTCTCCATAAGTTCTTGATCTCGGCCGAGCGCCATCCGTAGATACTCTGATCTGGGTCGCCGACAATTGTGATTCTCTGATGCTTTTGGGCAAGCAGTCGCATAAGCTCGTATTGCACGCCGTTCGTGTCCTGGTATTCGTCGATCAGGACCGTCTGTATATTAGACACACAAGATGGGAACTTGCGAAGAAGTTCCACGCACCGGACCAGCAGATCGTCATAGTCTAGCAAGTTTGATCGTTCCAAGTGGGTCTGGTACTCGGTATAGCATACCTCCAGATCCCGCTGACCTTGTTGTACCGGCTGCTTCTTTGGCGGTTGGGGCAAAGAGGAAGGACTGGGTTCCATTCCCTTGGCTTTCTTCTTGCTTATCCAGGCCTTTGCCATTGGCGGATCGAGACCCAGTTGTAGCCTTTTGGATATTCTCGTGATGATGGATCTCGAGTCGTTATCGTCGGCAATGCTGAACTTTTCGCTCAGTCCAATGTGGCGGCCGTATGCGGCAAGGTAGCGTCGAGCAATGCTGTGGAATGTGCCCAGAATGATCTTGTTTTCGCGGCCGTTTCCCAGAGCCTTTCCAATGCGCTCCTTCATTTCCCGAGCAGCCTTGACGGTGAATGTCGCGACAACGACATCTTGTGGTTGGTAGCCGACATGGTCCACCAACCAGACCACTCGGGAGGTAAGGGTGTGTGTCTTTCCGCTGCCTGGGCCGGCTAATATAGCGACAGTGGCAGCATCCGAAGTCACGGCGCGTGCCTGGGCATTGTTTAAGCTGTCGAGGATGGAGTGTTTTGGCGGCGCGGAGGGAGGAGACATGGGGAGCGAGGAAGGGACTGCAAGAGCAGCGAGATTGAGCAAATATTGTATGGTGATTGGACCGGCATTGGAGCCCAGCAGCTCGAAATCTGCAAAATTCGGGCTAGTTGCTGTGCCTGTACAGGTTCATTGCAGTTTGTTGCCGGCGATTGTCAAGTGGAATTCGCGAACGACAACTGAAGCGGGTCGCGCCGTCAAGGTGCCTGGCTCCACTATCGCTGCACGAAAGCATGTGACTTGTTGGAGGTCCAGTTTGATCATTGCATCTCGCAGATAACCCTAACCCCTACCTAGCATGGCCTGACACTCGAATCGCTGTCGCCGCCAAACAAGACGCCAAGCACTCTAGACTTTTTCAATTTCCAAATTCATCCACAGAGCCAACTCTCCAGACGGCCACATATTGAACCAAAAGGTCCAACTCTCTGCGCGAGAGAGCCGTCATACACCTTCACCCACCCTCTCATCATTTCAATTGACCGATATTTTTCAAACCCCTCAATTGCCCAGGACCCCGTTGGCAATCACCATGGATCAAGCAGACCTTGTCAGGTGTCGGACCGTTGCATTGCATTCCAACATCTCATATCGACCCTCTTAAGTATCGCGAAATACGATCGCAAAGCCTAACCCCTCATCCCCGGTTCAGAGCCTCCCGACTCTCTCGGCCATGACGGACGTGGTCTAAACTCTATTCCACCGAACATCATGGCCAAAGAGGCGGCATGGAGCCCGAGGTATACTCACGTTGACAGCATGAACTCCTTACTTCTCGGCTTTGTTTGTTGAAAGCAATCCGGGCGTCTAAGATATCAAGCTCAATGGACATGGCCTCCGTGATATAGCTGACGGGATTGTGCTATTGATCAGGATCAGTTCGGAGCCTAGTGCCAGATTTAACCAACAAATGGCATCAGCACATGCGGCTGACGTGAAATAGTGATCTTCACTTGCTGCTGTGTGATTGTTAGTCAAAGTGACCAAACCCAAGGCGATAGCATGGTGGATAGAGCGCTCCTTTTATCAAAAACCATCGGCTGCTCCTTTCACTAGTGGTGTCGTGACTTTGATCACATGTGCCCATCACTGTGACTTTCTCAGTCCAATTGCCGTCACTGGTAACCATCCCAAGTTCTGGACCCATCGCGGCGGTAACGAGGCTCGAACACTGCAAGGTACGCCTCATCGTTGGAGGGCCTGTCAAGGCTAGCCATGCACGAGTTTCCGTGCTGGGAAAAGGCGGTGGGTTTGGAAGAGTTTATTTTTCACAGAATGGGGTCCAGGGACAAGACAGATCAAAATCCAAAAGAGAAACAAAGGCCAAGGACGGGACGCGGGAGCGGCACCAATCGCCAGGGGTCAACAACGGGGTGGAGGCGGAGATAGACGACCTCACCGGCGTGGTCACCATGTGCCAGCCAATCGCGTCGAGTCCCTTGCCGCTCGCCCTCCGGTGCTGTCAAGTCCACCCGACCAATCACGTCTCATACAAGCGTAGCACCACTTCTTGTGCTCACCAAGACCCCAATCAACATGACCGATTCTCTCTCTCTTTGGGGCCTCCATCCAAAGCTATTTTTGACGGTCATCATGCGGGAATCACGAGTGAGAATGCAAGTGGAAGAGGTGCCTGAATCCGGCCCCTACGCCAGTGGCCAATCCGCTCCTAAACTGACCAAAGTGCTCGTCTACTCGACACATGCTTCACGACCCTTCCAACCCGGATTGTGTCAACAGCCGCTACCACAGTATATACCCAGACGTTTGCCTCGACGCCCCTCCTCCCATTGACCTCCTGTTCATGCGGATGCTGTGCTGGTCCATATCACATTGCGTTTCACTCTAGCGGATACTCTGCCTGAGGGATCGACGGTTCCCAAAAAGGCCAGCAGCTCAGAAAGGAACTATACTCCCCGGTATCCGGCCTCATATCATCATGCCCCTTGGTATCAGGACTTTCATCAGCAGAAACAACATCAAGTATAACTCGGCCTGGGTCTTGTCACTCCTGGCCACATCACTCGTTCTCACTTGGCCTCATCTCTGCCTCGCCATTCCTTTACCTCAGCCTAACTTGTCTCCGAGAGGCAACAACAACCCATTGAACATCGATTGGGATCCCGCTCCGGCACCAGAAGACGGCCCCCCATTGTCACGAGGTGCTATCCGTGACCCGGCCTATCTCCCAGCACAGATTGGCGGCATTGTTGGTTCGTACGCGGTATCATTGGTCATTGTCGCCACCCTTCTTCTTGTGCTTTCCAAAGGACGGCGTCAAGCTTTGATCAACGCCGACCTTCCGGAAGAAGACAAGTACCTCGACTTCAACCCTCTCCCGGCATATCTTCAGCAATCCGAGGAGGAGTTTAAACAGACACTTGCACAGTTCCATCAACAAGAACTCGGAGAGCACTTCCTCCAGCAGCAAGAGTACGGACAAGTCCCGCCACCACTTCCTACGCTGCAAATCCCACCGAGCCCATACAGGAACTGGGGATTCAGAGAATCACCACTTAGCGCCAGCAGATCACACTCAGTCATCTCTGCTGGGTCACCAACCTCGACGGTTCTCGCATCCGGTTACGATCTTTCAGTCGACCAGACGGTGATCCAACACGACAGAGCCATGGCGCAACAACAGCTAGAAGAGATGTACAGGCATGTGATGGAGCAAGAGGAGGCAAAGGCAGAGGGGAGGCAGTACATACCACCAAACCTACCAAGACCCTCGGTGTCATCATTTGCTTCCCAGCAACCGCATCAACAAGCCTCAGCAACACCAGGAACTGTCCGCAAAAACAAGCCTTCCAATCTCAACCTTTCCAAGGAAAAGGAGGAGAAGCAATCCCGCGGCGCCTCTTTCCTCAACTTTCTCAAATCCCCCAAGAAGAACAAGGCGCCCCAAGGCCTCTCCATCTCCTCGCCCATCATGACCCCGATGTCCGGCACTTTCCCCCGCGGCTACCACCCGGACGTCGACGGGCAAGAGATGAACTCGATCCCTCCGCGTCACTACGCCCCGGCCAAGCCACCTCCCATCCCCTCGGACGTGCTCCCCTTCCGCCGTCAACAGGCTCAATACCCCAGCCCCGACATCTCCCCCGTAAGCATTCAGTCCATCGACCAACGCATCGACGTCGCCCTCCACCATCCTGCAAATCACGGCGAGCGCGAAGGAGCTCGCCCAGACGAGCGTCTTCCCTCGCACATCCGCGACCCCTCAGCAGCCTCCAACGCCTCTTCCCTCACGGGCGACGCCTACCTCGCCGACCCGCCCTCTGCCGTCTCCGACCGGTCCACCTCGGGTCTCGTCTCCTCCGGCACCGTCGGCCTCCCCTCCTCCCCTCGCCCCGGCGCCAACCGCTTCCCCTCTCTCGACTCAACCCGCACTCTCCCCGCGTCTCCCAAACCCGGTGCTTCCTTCTCCTCTTCCCGCTCTGGCGCCTCCTCAACTGGAAAATCCAGCACTCTCCGCCCCAACGCTCCCGCTCCTCTCAACTCTCTAAGCGGGAACGCCTCCGCCTCCTCCTCTGCCGTCCGCGCCGGCGGCGCTCTGCCCCTCCGCGCTTACGAGCCTTCCCTCGCTAGCCCCACCAGCGGGTCGCAGACAACCAAACAGACGGTATTTACCCGCCAAGTGCCGGGCCCTCTGAGTCCGGGCACTGCTGGCCTCAGAACGCCGTGGACGGGCGCGCCCGTGCCGTATAGTCCGTACCAACCCTTTTCGCCGGTGGTGCCGATTACCCCGTCGTTGGTGACCAAGGCGGATAGGAAGAGGATGAAGAAGTTTGAGCCCAAGACGCCGACGGTGGAGATGGTGAGGAGTGAAGAGGAGATTTGGTAGGTGTGGGATAAAAAGGGGATGTGGAGCGAAAAAAAAAAGAAGAAAAAAAATTGCATGGTACTGGAATTTGGGATTGATATCTTTAGGATGGATGGATGGATGGTAGCATTGGGCGGAAAGATTGGGGGTAAAAAACATGGATGGGTGATGGATAAGGTATAAGTGGCATGATGGATGGATGGCATGGACGGTGATGGTGATGGTGATGGCGATGGTGATGGTGATGGTGATGGTGATGATAAAGCAGGATCTTCTTTTTTACCCTTTTTTTGTTTCCCTTCTCTTTGTCTTTCTCTTCGATGGGTTGTACATACACATAACCGATATACCAATTCTTCTCTGGTTGTTTTCCTTGATGGAAAAAGTTAATTTGATACCTGGGTTTTACACTTCACCTATGTGTCCATCAGTTGTGATGTCATCCGTGATGGTGAATAGGTGTAGTGATTGATGTCGCCTAACGAAGATCATTGCAAGATGAAGGACGACGCTTCGGAAGAAAATAGGAGATGATGAAGTATTGTAGCGTTGATGAAGTAGGGAATGATGTCGATTGCCCAAATCACTTGAATTAGGGATGACACTGACATTGTTTCGAGAAGTGAGTGATATTGGACCGGGTTCCGGCAAGTTGGAGGCCTTCTGGAACGGGATCATGAAGTCACGTACCTCCGTAGGTAGGTACGTGTGGAAGGTGCACCCCGCCCTGGAGTTTCCGGCATGACTCTTATATCTTTTCCTTCCAACCAAAGCAACAATCAAGCATTCTGCACCATCTTGGTTCACTTCTACTCACTTGGTTACGTTTGCGAGGTTTGCTGCCCTCTCCTTCGGTATATAATGTCTTGAAGAGTGCAGTCATTCAAGTCCTGTTGTAAACGGTCAACACTGCTGCATCTGCACAGTCAAGCCTGCGAGACGGAGCCAACTTAAGTCACCTTACCCTAGGGACTGTCCATATGAGCCCCTGCTACCACCGGACTTTTCGACGGGGCGGGTGGCATATCAATCGATTCCAGTCCCCGAATTCCCGCCGGAGGTACTTCTAGCCACGGAATTGGGCCGATAACGAAGGTAGGTATACACTACTGACAACGGCAGCTTCAAGTTTCAAAAGTTGTAGTAGTCATATAGCGTAAATGTACCCCAACCCATCATCTGCACTTCGTTTCCGCAAACTCCACGGCACTTACTATTTTTATCTCGCACGAAGTCCCTTGTATCGCATCGCGGCATGCTGACGCCCAGTAAGACTTTTGGTGGGGGACACTTGGATAAAAGTTTCACTTCCCTGGCTTTCTTGTACTTCTTGAGTTCCTCTCTAGCTACATCCACATCCACAAGTTGTTGGTCTCTGCCACCAGGTGCCGTGCCATACCAGAGGGAACGGTCCGTACCAACCTAATTTCCCTCCCAACATATGCGTGAATAGATGGAAGATGACCAGACTCCAGTCCTCTCATCAGTCCTTACCTCTCGCCAGCTGATGGAACCACCGTTTGGGCTTAGCTAAACCGCATCCTATCCGTGCTGAACCGGCCACCTGATGCATGGCTTCGTACACAAAGGTCAACAACGGTCATGGGTCCCAAGATATACATCCAAAATGAAACAAGAAGTTACCTGACCCAGATCGAATCCTGCATACATGGGACGAAATCCGGAAGCGAGGTAGTGTATATGTAGAAGATACCCAACCCTCCTACATATGTCAGTGAAAGAATCCTTTTCCATCGCTCCAACAATAATGCATGCATATAGGATCTAGAACCCCCATCCTCAAAGCATACTCCAAGGGGTGAGGGCAAGAACGCGGCGCTCCCTAAGCCATGCAGAATATGCAAGCATAGGTACCTACTGCAAAATTCGAATTATTGCGCAATTCGCGAGTTTCTATATACGGTATCTAAGTAAAAGACAGCTTCCGCAGGTACAGCTGACCACTTGCAACTAAGAACAGATGCATGAAACAAATCAATCGTACACAGCATCGCAGCATGTACATATTTCAAGTTGAAAAAAAAAAGAAGATAGTTGGAGGAGTTGATGTTCAAGAAGTTTGGAAATTGTTTCAAAACATTAGATTCGAGGTATCTTCTTGCTCCAGGTTCAAAACATTCCCCAACCCAAGTCAGTTTTCGGGAAGGGGAACAACCTTGTTGCCTCCCGGGATGCCAGTCTCAGTTCCAGAAGAGAGACAGGCATGGAAGGAACAATAAACAACCTGACCTGTGGAGTTCAAGGGACGGAAAGAAGGGACGGAAAGAAGGAAGCATAGATGCACCGGCCGGATTGGAATCCCACGATTCCCATTGGAAGGACCTAATTACATGTGATTCAGATATTATGGGGCACCGCCAAGATTCGTTTCAGTGACGGGAAGCGTTGACTGAATCAATGCAGAGCGTGACTTCCGTCTTTGGAGCCAACAACACAAAACTCGGGGACTTGAGCGACCGTGTCTGCGGATTGGGATCAAATTCAGGCATGTATCCTGGTGCAGGTACCTTATTCATGTATACCAGAAGAGAATCGGGGGTCATATATCATCGCAGCAAGCACAGCGCCCGGCAGCAGCTCAAATTACAGTACATACATCTTGTTATTGAAATTTTTGTAGAAGTGCCCAAGGTAGCCTTGTCCGAAGATCCAGACTTGGAAAACCAACAAGAAGGGGAACTTAGTCCGGGGACATGAATGCGGGATGCACACACTCCTGACATATTGCAGTTTCGGGCCGGGGAGACAAAATGCATATGTACGTACATACCTCAGCTCGATGACAAAGGTTCAACGACGACGAAGGAATCTGACGTCTTCTGCTGGTACTGTAGTAAATCGCCCACCATTCAGCTCTCAGCTAGCTGTGCTTTCCTCTTGATGTGTTGTTGAATGGCTATAACAGCTGAACAATGACAAGCCCCGCGGGACCTGTCAAGCTGATTGGAAGCCCCTGCTCGTTTTCTTCACTCAGCTCGACCGAAAACAGACAATCCGAGAGAACAAGAGAAGGGTACACCCAGCCGGTTGCGATTCCGTCTTCCAAATATTATGAAAAATTGGTGGTGGCCCTGGCAGGCGGGCGTACGTATGAGTGCGTGCGCTGCCGAGACAACTTGAATCCAGTCGGGTCGCGGCTTCTTACATAATTCTTATGCACTAACACGTGGGGTTTTTTTTTCGCCTCGAGTTACCGAAGAGAATTGTTTACGCCGTTCTCGCTTCAGCCCCGAAATTATTACGTTCAATAAGTGTAGTGTAGAAGCGGAGTCGCAAAGATTCGCGTAGACTTCGCGAATACATGAGGTATGTACTGCAGTGGTGTTGCACGAGACATTCAGGTTTTGTCGGTCTGGGGGTTAGGTTCTCGGTTGTCATGGATGTCTTGGTTGAAGTTTTTGCCACCCTACCTACCGGCGTACTCTCCAATTTAAGGTTTGCCCCCCTTTTGGACGGCCCAACCGGCGACAACGTGCGAGTCTTAACGAAAGGGCGGACAGAGTCGAGAGTTGAGAGACCCCGAAAGAGCTCAACAAACCTACACTACATTATGAACCCCCTTTTCTGGTGTGTCACTGATGTGTCACTGCGAATTGCGAGTTTGTGATATTTGGGGATGCTATGTCAGATATGCTAGTAGGATGCTATGACGGTGCCCGGTGAATTTGATAACTGTCGTTGATAGCTTCGGCAAACCCTGTCATAAACTTATTTCTTTCCCAAGAATTCCCCGAGATTGGATCTAAGTGTTTTTGGAAAAGCCGAGGTGCTTCTGTAGTCTGTGGCTGAAGAAATATGATAGATGAGATGGGTAATCTCACCGCATAGACATCGTGCTCTGAAATTGGATGGGAATGGATAGCGGATTGGGATGAATTGGGATGGGAAATGGTTATTCCAGATTACCGACAGCAGCACCGGCAGTGATGAATACGATATATTTCGGTACAAGATAGGTTTCCTTGCACCAACTCCATTTGTTCCGGCGCTTGGATAGAGCTTGTCCGCCCTTTACAGTCAAGGCGCAGTTTGTGAATTACCATACAATACCAATCTCTCTTGGGACAATACGTCCGGACCATACCATCCGGTTCCTGGGTTGCGGACCAACGGCGTCGAAAAGCAGGAACCATGAGATGGAAGAAGCAGGGGAGGTAGATCGTCGTGAACCGGTCCCTCGATCATCCGTTAGGTCTTCCATCGATCGACCCGCCTCCCGTCTTCTAGAGACACATCCGCGGGCGAAGTTCCGCGGAAGGCGGTGATGGCCATAATTCGTGTGATGATTGTGCACTGCTTCCACATGTTGTCCACCGGCTCCCGTCCTCTTCACAAGTCACAATGCCAAAGTCAAGGTCAAGGCTGTTCGGTGCAGGAACAACCGAGCTAGCCTGTTTTCGGCAAATATAGCCAAGTCTTTAGTGTAAAGCGTCTGCTGCGATGCGCTTGACCCACAGTGCGCACCCGTCACGACGCCAGCCTGTGCATTCAACACTCACCTGGCATCGAACAAGAAAACAGGAAAAAAGAAAAGAGGCGATGCAGAAGGATTCGACCGCAAAGCTAACTTTTCGTCTACCCAGATCTGTCCCCTCCACCCCCCCAGCATCCTCCTCACCGTTCACGAATCGAATTTGACCAATTCCAGGATCGTTTAGTTGCCGCACCTCTTGCTGCTAGTTTAGCGAGAGAGTGAGACATTGACTACCTAGAGACAATGGACGATGTTTGCTTGTGCCACCGGCTGGCGAACAAGTTGATAACTTCTCGAATCAAAAAGGCGCTAAAAAGCTAAGTCCCAAAAAAAGGCTATTGGAACTTAACCCTTTTCAGCTCTCTATCGATACGCAAGTGGGTTCTTTCGTTGCTTTGGCTGACAATGATTGGTTACCTGTCTTGGTTCCGGGCCTCATCCCGTGTGGAGTGGACTTTTGTGGAGACCCACTCAGTGACAAAAGGTCGTCGGTTGGTTGCACGTGTCCCGAGTCTTGGCGCCCCCGTCCCCGGCTGCGTTGGAGCCCTTTCCTGCCCCGGGCGTTCCTGTTTCCTTCCCTGTCTCGTCTTTCCGTGGGAGACAGACAAGTGACACTGAAGTTCTGGGCGTAAATTGTGGAGATTCCAAGTGGTTACATAAGCCTTGTGCCCGCCCGAATTCCTCACTTGGGCTCGGCTCCAGCCGGTCAGTCCCTTCCATGATCATCATACGATTCTGTCTTAAATCGT